TAGCCATAGCAGTCCCCTAATCTTTACTGTTGAGAGATACAAAGGAGGTAGAGATCAGCATCTTCCAAAAGTAATGCATGGTGTCTTGAGACAGCTGTGCAACAGAAGTGAGATAAATTGTCACATTCTTTTATTAATTTAAGGTGAAACAGATCTCACTCATTCTACTGCTGAAAATTTTAATTGTGGGTGAATACTAATTGTATCAATGCTTTTCAATGCTCGATTCAGACCTCACATTGCTCCCCTGTAAATGTTAGCACATGACTTGTAAATTGTGGAGACACAACCTGTAGAAACAAGTTTGTGATAACAACTTTATGGACCCAAATCCTTACAGAGCCCATACTGCTCTATGTTCCATATTGATGTATTTATCACTTTTTATAAAGAATAATAAAATAACAACAACAAAAAAAAAAGGTTAGTAAAGGGTACAGATTACTGAACAGAGTTAACATGAGATTGTTTCAGCCCATGTTACCACATGGCAGATTCAGTCAGTATCTCACGTCTATCCTAAAAAAAACCCTTCTGAGGAGGAACTGTGTTTGGGTCCTGTGTGAAACACACAGGTACTGCACAGCTTTTTTGTCAACCTTAAGTAATAATTTCTATTAGCAAACCCTTAGAGAAGAAAACAAACACTACACAGGGGATATCAAGGCAGAGAGTTTAAGTCAATTGTCATCAAGAGTTGTTCAGGACCTCTTTGTGTTTGTCTCATTCATCCTGAGACCCACAGTGTTGAGGGAGGGATGTGGGAGAAGCAGGAAATGCATGTTTGAACATAGTTCAAACTAAAGAACCTTTATGATAAGTGAAATGGCACACTTATCTTCTTGCCAGCTTACTATCTCTTCGACAATCACTGTTGTCCCATTTCCACATAATTTCTTATAGAAAGGTGTTTCAATAATCATCTCACAGTAGTAAAATCCAGTGTCATTTACTTTGGCAGATTTTATGGCTAGCACATCCTTGTTTTCATGGGTGATGTTGGACACACAGACAACCTTTGATGATACACTTTCAGTGATGTTTGCTTTATTAACAAGGTATCAGCTTACTCTATACCTCATAATAATACCTTTTTCCCAAAACCAAGCAATTTCAGAATAGTCTCCAGTTGATATATTTTTGTTGATGTTTGGATGCCTTTTAAATTATTGGGACCTGTAGCTAATGGAGAAATACAGATAGATTTAAAGGTTAAAGTAGCAAATAGATGTCATTACAGCTATATTTAAAATAATTTTTAATGCTGTAAAATCAATATGACATTAACTTTTAAGATTAGTTACTACCCACTTCTCCCTTCAGTGATGTCACTTACTTTCTGGCTGAAGTAAACTTTTAATCTGGTGTGTTGAAGTCCTCCATCATTGTTTGTGTGCAGTAAATGAAGATTTTATGTGTACTTGATAACAAACGTATTTTGTACTTTCCACAAAAAGCCTTATAAAGAGAGGTTGAGTCTGAAGGATGTTAAACCCTACCTGCCACATAAAGGATGACCAAAAGGAGTCACTCAAAATGATTTATTAGTTAATAGTGAAAAACTCATAGAGATTAAAGAAAAACCCACTACAATTTTTGTCACTGTGCAGGAGTTCCTATCCTGCGCTGCTTCTAATTAGTAACAAGTGTACAGCATTTTACAGGTGGGTTCTTATATTTAGTTTTAACTTCTTCCATTAATTTTTTGCTGAAAAGTAGTTTATAGCATCAGATTCACCTCCTTCATTTATCAAGCATACAACATGCCATGTAGACCCCAGTTGTCTCACCAGGTGTGTTGTCTGGCTTTTAACTAAGGCTGAACAGTATCAGAAGAAATCAAACTTTTTCCTGCTTTGAATCTCTCACTCACTGTCCACATGCAAAGTAAATGATACATGAGATACTGTGCAATACTGTATAAAATATTTTCTTCCAGTGAAATCTACTGTGGGGATATCAGATAACTTTTTTTACGTTCTAATGGCATTGATGCTCATCATGAAAGTGCTAATCCAATCAAATCTATCCCCATGACCGCTGAGACCATTAGTTTCATACTCTGCATGAAGAATTATAATTTCCTTTTTTCTAACATTTATACTATTAAAGTGAAGAACTACTCATAATGTGAGTGAACAGCATGATTTTCTTCCAAATTTTATCCTGTTTGTCACTCAGGCACATTTCATGCCAACATATAACTAATGACATCATTTTTCCCATATCTCATCCGAAAATGGCATTTGGTAAGTTTTATCAGAAATATGCAGCGAAACTTTTCTCCTCTGTCCATAGACAAAGCCACATATTCATCATACTTGAAGGACTTAGGCACCTCTATCTTCTCCACAACACAACGGTCAACTACTTGCAGAGAACAATACAGACAGTGTAGGAGTAATATAAACAGCAGAAAGAATTAGGGAAAGAATTGATTACGTGCAAATGGCAACTTGGAAGCTGTTCAAGTGTTAAAGAAATGATCAGTAATTTCACTTTTCCTGTTCATTTGGATTGTCATTTAAAATACAGTTGTGCTATCCACATTTCCATATTGTGACTTTACCGCTTTTCTGAAAAATCTCACTGAAAAAAATCCTTCTGCCCTTGCTTAATCTCTTAATCTCTCCCTTTCTTTGGCTGCATTTTTTAATTTATACTGAACACCTTCAGTATTATACAGTGCAATTTGTATTGAATAAGAATCATGAAACCTTACCTGCTTTGCATTTCAGTACCTATCTAAAACAAAACACCATTAACATTGTAACATTCTACATTCCCTGTTTGTCATAAAAAAAATATTCAAGTCAGAAGGCCTAAGAAAGACGATGCTTGCATTAAATGAACATCATTTTGGGTGTTAAGTCATCAATTTGGTCCTCTACACTTTTTTTACAACAATCTCTTTGTGAAAATGCGTTTTGACTCCCCATGCATTTTAATCTTGCTTTCAGTATTATGAAAATATAGTTAACATTCTCCTTGTCTCACACACAAGTGTATTTGATGTGGATATACCATAAGACTTTTAAATCCAGCTCAAGAATTATTGGTGCCTAACTATTAAAAAAAACCCAACGAAAATAAACAGTGCTTACCTAAGCAGTCAAAACACATTGCTAAAGAAGTTTCAGTGAAATTATGATCATCACACAAGATTATTAGTGCTTGCATTAGAGTGTCTTGTTTAAAGATCAACAAAACATCAAATGAAATCATGTCAGAATTGTAGCTTAACTTCCTCTTCCCTTGTGGTGAGGATGGTACAACCTAAATGCAACTCAAATTTTCCCTACACTCTGTGAAACTGCTGCTACAGCTGTGTCTCTGATTTTAGAGTTCAGCCATCCTGTGTGAAACCAAAACATTTGTTCTTTAAATTTTAAACTGTGTCCTAACTAATTGCCTTTCAACACTCTTCTGGTATGGCATAAAGAACTGCTTTTCCACACTTAGAGTGGCTTCATGGGAGCATTTGTCATTGTCCTTTTAAAACTCTTCATTTAAAGGCACTTTATGAAGATGAAATTTCTTTAGGTACCACACAGCCTCTTCCAGCCAACCCAATGAACCTTATCCAAAGCCAGAGACAGTGACTGTATGTGGGTTACTTTGAAGCCAAGTATGGTCCTATCTTTCCTTATCACCCATTTCATTGTCATCTCGCTGAGATTTCACCTAAATTCTTTCCTCCTGTGAAAAGGGCTTTAGTATTTTTGCCTTAACAGCAGCACAGCTCCACTGGCAGGAGCAGCTGAGGAAGGCTGAGTTCCAAGATCACACTGGCAGTGGCTCCAGCATCCTGCAACGTCAGTGGAAACAATCCAGGACCCCACACTGTGTATGCAAACCATCTCACCACTACCTCTACAGCTGCAGCTGCATTAATGCAATGCCACTGCCATGTACATGAACTAAGGCTTATTTCAGCAAGATTTTAAGCAGAAGTTAAAATGACTTACAGTTACATTGTCAGGCTAAGGGTCATGTTGAAATCATTTACCTTCAATTATTAAAAAATTTTCTACTAATGTAGATAACTGTAATATTCTTATAATATTAATATTCTCCAGCACTGAGTTTTGGCTGCAACCCAGAATCAGATTCCCTGGCCAGAGACATTGCCTGGAAGACAAAACATTGCTTCCATTTTCAACTTATTTATTCCCTGGATGGATGTTTCAAATGCAAAGTTAGCAGGCTAGACAAAATTGCCCCACAAGCACTTTCAGTTGGGTAACATTCAAAACTGCAATGACAGAACTTAAAAAAAAAAATAAAAATGTGTCTAGAAACTAGGTGAAGCTTTTCCCATAGTGCTGATGGCAGCTTGTATTTACTCTGAGAGATGCTTTGGTTCTAATCCAAAGCATCTACTGTCAGAGATGAAATGAACTAGCACAGAGCAAAAGGGGTTGACTGAGAGGTTTATTTTTAGCCCTAGTTACTTCATGGTACTGCTTTACAACACAACCTCACAAACTCTCATCACAGCACTACTGAGGGGGTGCAAAAACATGGTGACAGAATTTCTTAAGTGACCTTTGCTGCCAGGGTAAGTGCAGCACACAAAATGACCATGCCGGTCAGGGAAGCACCTGCAACAGAAAGATCCTATTATAGTTTTTCTTTTCTTTCTGCAACTTAATCATAGTTAACCTTGGAAACTGCACTGATGAATTTGGATTCTGTAAATGTGTATATTTATTCACCTGTGTGCTACAGATGATTGCAGAACAGCTGCTCAGTGCAGTTACAGCCACTCTCTTACGGATGCTTTCCACAAATCCGTCTTCCCAAAACTTTTCTCTGTCACATTCAAAGAGTATCAGCTGAAGGCATACTGAAACATCCATTCAAAAAAACCAGGATCAATCCATTCAAAAAGAGGATCTAAACCCTCTTCCTTCTCCTTACTCTTACGTCATACTTGCTTGAGAGTTTGCAACACAGCATTTTTGAGGTGTAAGTCACAGCACTGAGAAGAGTGTGTATGAAATCAAAATCAGCACCAAGGTTTTATTTACCATAGCACAAGTACGCTGCATGCATACGTGATTTTGTCCTCTGGTTATAACGTTCCATCAATCCTCTTTTCTCTTGTGTATCCTGTGTAATGCAAGGTTTGTAGTAGTATTTAAGTAGAGTGGCTTGATTTCTATCGAGTCTTCATGTAACACCCCAGTATTTCTCCTCACTATCTTCCCATATGTGAGGGAAGAAAAAGGATGATTAGTAAATGGGTCCTTCTACGGAGATTTGAGGCCTGCAGGCTTCCTTTTGCTTGGGCTGAGATTTCTCAGGAAAAATAACATATAAACTATGCAACAACATCTTCTAGCAGGAATGCCATGCTTTTTATAGACCAGTCCTGGATGTCTCTGGTGAGATATAAGACTTGACTCTGGCAAATTATCTCCTGATGACCAATTGCATTGAAATAACTCCAGATAAAATATTTTTCAATTATTTTTCTCTTTCAAATCATAAAGTCTCCACAGATCAAAGCAGAAACCCTCCAAACAGATAAATCAGGGATAATAAGGTATTCCTGTTTATATTATCCCATGTAAGAAGGTTTTTGTAGGATTTGTTCTAATGCATCCTACTAGAAACTTATCAACCTGCCATCTGGCAAAGCAGCACCCAGAGTTAGCAGCTGTGGGATCCTTTGCTGCTTGGCCAGGACTGACCATGCCATTGGTCACTGAAGATACAATTCAATTTTTATGATCTACCCACATGACTTGCTGTTCCCATCACATGTACTAGTGATTCAGTCACAAAAACACAAATTATAATCATACCCCTGTATAACCTACACATTATAATTATTATATTACATGGCAGAAACAAGCAGGGAAGGAGAGAAGATGTACAAGCAAAGAAAACGACTCAGTTGAAGACACTTCATTTCCCAAATACATACACAAAACAAAGTGAGAAACACCTGCCATCACACTTTACTGCCTCCTACTTACAGGGCTATGTGCTTCCCCTTTGGGCTTAATGTTGCAGGAAAATGGCTTTCACTGCAGCAAAGCAGGTCAGACTGGCACATCACCAAGTATTTATAGCCAAGTATGAAAAACAACCAATAGAAATATGAAACAACCCTTCTTCATCCAGTAAGTGAATGTGGTAGTTTCTGCAGTGATTTTAATGAGATGAAACCAGTGAGTATACACAGGCTGTCTTCATGCAAAACTGACCACCAGCACAGTTCTTCAGCATAACTGTTTCCCAACAGCTATTCTGGAAGAGCCCTTTTCACTCTTTTTCCTTTGTTCTTGAACGGTGTCTCCAAGTGGAGTTAATTATTGCTGAACAGCTGAAGTAAATCAGAGTCATTTTTATGTGATTCTAGATCTGGGATTATAACTGGCTGAAAAGGCACCCATTTTCCTCTCTGTTTCCTCTTTCAGTTTTATGTTTCACTCATCAGAAATACAGTTTTGCACAGTGTTGCACCAAGCATAATTCATCATTATCACTGCAGTGAAGTGACTGACTTGATTCTCATCTCATATATGGGTACTTTCATGGTGAACAAGTAAAACAGTAGAGATGCCCAATGGCATGTGAAAAGAATAAGATTCTATAGCTCCACATTGTTTAGAGCTAAGAAGAAAAATAGAGAAATGCAGTTTTTATTTTGGACGTAAATGCACACCAGCTATTAGGAAATCTAGTTGCTGTTCAAGTTTCCTTTTGCTGGTGCTCATTCAGATCTGCTTAGAATTTGCACTTACTGCCAGTTTAACCTCTGCACACAGCACTCCACAATTAACCTCGATTTGTTGTTAATGAAACATTTCCTGCTACCACTGTGCACATTCTCTGAGCTGAGAAGGAAGTAAGTTCACAGTATCTTAAGAATAATATTGCTCCTTCAGGTTACATGATGTTACTGTAAGTTACTGGCCATAGGGCAAGAGACCTTCTGTTGACAAACCAGCTTCCCTTTACCCAGAACACAAGAGTGAACGTCCAGGACCAGGATTCTGTCAGGCAAAGTCCATCAGTTCTGAACCTTAGGAGACACAATTTAAATCAACTTAGGGCAAAGGAATACAACCAGTACATTCCATTTCAGTTTACAGCAAAGTAGAAAGTTTGCAGTTGTTGCCCAAAAGACAAAGAAGCTGAAACACAGCAGACATTTCTCCTTGCATGTAGGAACAGAACATCATTTGTCAAATCACTATTCTGTGATTTGGAAGTCATCTCCTCTAACAATTAAAGTCTTAAGAAGACTCTTAAAATCACCACTAATAAGAAAAGCAATTCAAATTTGTAGGACTAATATGACTTTGTTAGTGCTCCCCAGTGAAGCGTTATAGAATCAATCACTTTAAAACCATCCACAGCAAGCACAAAAATGTCCAATATGCTTGCTTTGCAACACCAAGGTCATTTTTGCACTGAAAAAATTTCAGGGGAAAAAAAAAAAAGAGTTGTAAATAATTAATCAACAAAAATACCCACAACTTAGGTCAACAGTTTAATTCAATTTAGAATTTATTCAAAAATTATTTTTTCTTTCATTAATAGTAGAATGTTTTTCAAGATCATCACTTGTATCTTGACATACAAATTGGACGGTATTACATACTCATTCCTGAAATACATTGCCAAACTTTATTGACTCTGAAAGTACACAAAGAAAGTCCTTATTTCCTTTGGGTAAACAGTTACTGTAAAATTTTCTGATGTCTTTGTGCTGTTGAAGAATCCTGTAAAACACAAAACCGTTGGTAATGTATTAAAGTAGCTTTACTCCAATGGACACATTATTCTATCACAACAGTTTTAACCCATCCCTTCCCTAAAAGCCAGTGCTTCAGGAGATTATCCTCCTTAAAACTACAAGTAATATGGAGCCTAAGATGCACCCATTCATAATATTCAAACATATAAAAATTTATCTTCCTTTCACACGCTGACATACACAGAAAATGTGAAATGACTCCCCAGTATGCACTTTTTCTTCATGAAGAATAAACAGCAAGGAAGTTCCTAGCTGCAAGTCAAGTAGAGCTCTAAACTCTCACCCAGCACGTCCCAAAACCTCTGCAAGCTTTTTACAAGACACATATATGGATGTAAATGACAGCAAGGACAATGTCCAAGCAACTAACGGGAATGAGAAATGAAATGAGGTCACCCACAGCATGACTTGAGTGCCAGCCCTCACTTGAATCATATCCACAGAGTCCTTTAAGCTGATTACAGTGGAGATTTTTAACTGCAGCTGTCTGTTTTTCTGCAGCACAGGCTTAAGCTTAGATAAACACTCATCAGCATCTAAAAAAACCAATCTGTGCCAGAAGTGTGATTTTGTGAAGTAGCCACTTCTTTCTGGACAAAGGCAACTCTAGGAGGATTTAACGATTTTTAAATACTTCTAAGCAAAACAAGCCACCAGAGAAATACACAAGTCTGGTACTTGCAGGGAATCTTAGCTAAATTTTACTACTTGCAGGTTGTGACAGGTTCCAGGTCTGTCACACAAAACAATAATACATTTCTAATCTTGTAATTTTTTGGATGTTTTTATTTAGCCTATTCCTCAAGCTTCAACAGTCAACAACAATATGGACACCAACCATCTTACTCCACCTACCTTTGCTTGGATATTGTGCAGTCTTCCATTTCCACCGTTTCAAAGTGTTCACATCCCAGGTGCCTGTGAGTGATCGCTCTTCCACTGCCGTCACTGATCCTAATCCCTTAAGCAAAGACTGAGTAAAGAAAACACCAGGAATCAAACCAGAGTTTACTGAGAATAGTACCACACCTACCAGTCTAGTACTCAGTTAGACCAGAGTAGAATTTTCAACTCTAGCATTGCCCTGTTAAGCAGAGCAAAGAAACTTCAAAAAATCTGTAAGGTCATGCAGCAAAGGGCAAATAGAGATTCACCAGGCTTCAAACTAAGCAGCTGAGGTGCTGAAAGCTTCCTCTGTGTTGTGGCAAAGAGCCTATCAATCTCTCCATCATACTGCACTTTTTTAAACAAAACAGTGAATCCTACACCTTACTCCTCTTGTTTCTGTCATGACAATTAAAATTTTGTATTTTAAAATAACTGCCTTCCATGGATTCTAAAATAATTCCATGTGAAAGTCCAATAAACAAGAAACTGAAAATGCAAGTACGTGATGGAAGTGACCAAAGTTTTAACAACTTGCAGAAATAAACTATAGAGAAAAAATGTTTGTTTCCTTTAATCTTGTCCATGTTTCATTAATTATAGGTACAACTTGCAATAACCAAAGAAACAACAAAACAGAATCCTACTCTCTACACTGGTTAAGGTATGGCAGGAAATGTTCCACAACCAAGACCTCAGCAGAATCAGTCCTACCCACATTTAAGCAGATCTTCATGCTGTGCCTACGGCAACCTCATCTGAAGTAATGGCTTCTGTGCTGCAAAGCTGAGTAAAGAAAAAAAGGCCCACTTCCCTCTGAGGTTAAAGGTATACTAATATTTTTGTATCTGTCTTTTGTGGAGTTTCTAGCACACAGGATGTGTCATTCCAGAAACAGTTCTCTCTGGAACAAAACCACCTCAATTGGTATTCTGTCTTGAAGTGTTAGATTTACCTTCAGATCTACCATGACAGGTTTAGACAGCACAGGATCCTCTCCAACTTCATACAAGTGTCTAATTCTTAGGAGGACACGACTGAAATCTGCATCACCTTCCTTCTGTTTACCTTCAAGAGAAATCAAAATGCAAATATTTTATTGCTTTAAAAATAAACCCAACTTTTAAACTATTTTTTTTTAACTTTACACTCTCATCATTTGAACTTAATGCCCATTTTTTAAAGTTAGCAAGAGGACTAACATCAAGAAATACCCAGCTCCCACTGTTGACAGGAATGTCACTAACAAGCATGAAGAACTCATGCAGGAGAAATATCTTACTATTTGAGTAGAGAAATCGTACAGCACAATTAACTTTCATGACTGAGGAATTTAACAGTTTCAATAAATACAAGTACTAGCCACAAAAGACAGAATAAACCCAGCTTATTTAAGCGTAACATCCAGCAACCCCTTTTGAAGGCACCTACCCATGCGGATGCTGCGGATCTGCTCTGCATGATTAGAGCTGTACCTCCACCCTGGAATGCTCAGGGTCTGGAGATGGAGATTAGGTGGCACAGTCACAGGTGAGCCGTGGACTGAATTCTGCTGGTGTTGTCCAGGTAGCTTTGGTTTATCTCCTCCATGCAAAGTGAAACAAAGCAAACACTAAACATCCATCACACACACAAGCCTGGCTAGGGTACAGTGGAAGGGTCAAGGGATTTTTGCTTATTCTGCCAAGGCAGAGGAAAGGCAGATGCTACGTTTTCTCCTCCAAGGCCTTCCAAGATACAGAACAGAGGGCAGGATGATTTTAACTGCTGGAGAAGTGCATCAGAGCTTTCCATAAAACAAATTTAACGCAGTTTGAAATTGCTATTTCACTACCAGGCCTCAGTTTTAGTTAATAAGCCAAACAAATATTTTTAAAAGAATGACTCAGAAATGGTCATTAAGGACTCAGCATCCAGGAAGCTGATATATGGTGAACTAGCTACTTTCCACTAATTCCCTGTGTGAACATTTTGTTCTCATTAGATGCTTTAAAATTTATTCTCCTATGAAAGTGGAGATAATTACATAACAAGAGAAACATTTCATACACTTGGACAACATCCATGTTTGAAAATAATGCAAAGTAATTAGCAGGCTCTAAATCTGCCTCCTAATTCACTGTATACTAACTTTGCCACACAGGAGGCTTCAAGTCTGCACTTACAAACTTGACAGCATAAATCAAAGCAACATAATAAGCCATTCAGATGCTAAAAATAGCACAGGAAATGGAACGAGTTACCTGATAATGCTCCAAACATTACTACTGGCCTATGTTCTAATGCCAGTCCACTTGTCCGATACAAAACATTGGTGACAGCCTTAGTTCCTAAAATGAGCCAAATTACAGGACGAACCACTGAAGAGTCATTTAAAGTGAGATTGTTATTCACGTTCCACTCAAGGTTGTTCCATAGCCTCCTGTGTAGCATCACCTGTATTGGGAAGGTAAATGTCACAACAGTAATCAGCCATCAGGCTTTACTTACATTATCAACAGCCATGAAATTATGCTCTCCTAGAAAAAAGAATTAATTTATATGTTACCTCCACTTGTCCATTCCCTTGACTTGATACACCATGAGCTCTTTCCGCAAGCAGCATCAGCCTTGTGGTATCATCTTCAATGTAGGCAGTCTGGACCATAGGATAATAGTTCTGTAATCACACAGCAAGTCATGCAGAGATAAAATTAACCCAGGCATCAGTAATGGAGAGCAAAGATAAGACACAACTGACTTTGGATTCCACCTTCGTGCCTACCCGAGCCACTGTGTTATTCACGTACGCCTTGAACAGTCTTTTCTGCATCTGATATCCATTGTTGTCAGTGTAGAGAAGCTGCTCAGTGTTCAAATTTGTGCTTGTTCTTAGAACTGCTTCACGATTTAATTCCAAAGGCCCAACACTGTATTCTTGCTCTATCCTATGGCAAAGCAGCTTCCCATCGTAGCCTTCTGGTACTGCATAAATCCTGGTGTACACTGCATACAGGTAATCCTGAGAAGTAATATTACTGTGAAAATGAGAAGAAAGATGCAGAGTTTATAAAGTGGAGCACTTGATTGGTTATGTATATACAAAACTTGCAAGGCATTCATGACGTCATCCTAAACATAGACAACTTTCTTGCCTGTTTTCTATATATTTCATGTACCTGTGCAATTATTTTAAATTTCAATTTAACTTTCAAATATATAGATATTCAGCTAGAGTAACTGATATCCTACCATTTTCCTTAGTGTTGCGAGTGTAAAGGGGACTCTTGACTGGTAAAGGCTCTGTTTTTCTCGAAATTAACAACAAATTTAAAAATAATTACGACTCCTTAAGCAATATATTTACATTGTACAGAATACATACATTTTTTCAATATGGCAAACATTAACTTTGATGAAAGAATTTCACATTGTTTTCCAAAGGTCCTTCTCAACTCCAATGCTTGTACCATGCCATATAAAGCAAAAGGCTCGAACCAAATGGCCAGGTTCAAAAGAGCTCGTTCATCAGGGATCAGACTGACCTTCTGTAGGAGTCCTTTCTCCAATTTGCTTGTAAAAAAGATATTCACAGTTCTAAAAATTAATCATTATGTCCAAATTCCACCCATGTTAAGATGTTAGTTGCAATTTTCATTGAGTTGTACAGAACCAGCTTCCCAACAGAAGCTGCGTTACCAAACCACAGAAGATCACTCTGAACAATCTTCACCTCCCTCCCTGCAGCAGTATGTGCTTCAGAAGTGGGCCCATGTGAACACTGTGAAGGCCAAGTGCAAGGTCCTGCACTTGGGTCAGGGCAATTCCAAGCACAGATACAGGCTGGGCAGAGAAAGGATTGAGAGTAGCCCTGAGGAGAAGGACTTGGCGGTGTTGGCATGAGCCAGCAATGTGCTCTCACAGCACAGAAAGCCAATTGTGTCCTGGGCTGTATCAAAAGCAGCGTGGCCAGCAGGTCCAGGGAGGTGATTTTGCCCCATTGCTCCACTCTCATGAGCCTCCACCTGGAGTGCTGTGTCCAGCTCTGGGGCTCCCAATGTGAGAAGTACATGGACCTGTTGGAGGGACTCCAGAGGAGGGGCCATGAAGATGGTCAGAGGGATGGAGCACCTCTCCTATGAAAACAGGTTGAAAGAATTGGGATTGTTGCCTGGAGAGAATTGGAAGAATTGCCTGGAGAAAAGAAGGCTCCAGGGAGACCTTACAGCACCACCCAGTACCTAGAAGATGCTTACAAGAAAGTTGGAGAGAGACTTTTGACAAGTGTATGTAGTGAGTGATAGGACAAGGGGGAATGGCTTTAGACTGAAAAAGAGTAGGTTTAGATTGAATGTTACAAAGAAATTTTTTACCCAGAGGGTGGCAAGACACTGGCAGAGGTGCCCAGAGAAGCTGTGGCTGTCCCATCCCTGAAAGTGTTCAAGGCCAGGCTGGATGGGGCTCTAAGCAACCTGGTTTAATGGAAGTTGTCCCTGTCCATGGCAGGGGGGTTGCAACTAGATGATCTTTATGGTCCCTTCTAACCCAAACAAATCTGTGGTTCTGTGATTTAAATAAGGTGCTTTCTTAGCACTACATTTAGCAGATGCATGCTAGTTCTACTGTCTAAATCCTAAACAGTATACAGAGCTCACTGTTTAGGAGCAGCTATACAGAATTAACCATATACATATCTAGAAAATTAAACATTCCAGTGAAGTTGTAATGATATCATACCTGTAGAAATACTGCCGTATCTCTGTCATCAAGGCTCCAGAAACCACTTCCAACCCCACTGCTTTTGATACTGGAACAGCTGAAGCATTTGGGCCAAATAAGTAGTTATCTGAAATTGGCCCTTTTGTCGTGTCTCCATTCACATGGTACTCAAGGAACTCCTGGGTCAACTGGACACTCTGGTTAGTCTCCCTTTGAGTCCATAGAAAAGGAAAAATTATATCACTTGCAAACACATTTTGTACATAACAGATGCAAATTTGAACTGTAACAGGAATGAGGATGGAAAAAAAAATCTGTTTCCTCACAGTGGATAATTTATATTGTAACAAGGAAATGAGGACAGCTGGAAATTAAAGTGCTTCCCATTAAGATATGTCAGTGTGTAAATAAATGGAGTTTCTACGTCCTTTTATGCTTTCATGAGAAAGAAGCATCTTAAGACATCATCCACATAAGCTCATTGTTTTGATGTGAGTTGCTACAGAATCAAAACTACCCATTTCACAAAAATTAGGTACATTGCACTATAATAATGAATAATCAGGTTCATTTAACTTTGTAGCTAGGTAAATGAGCACAATGCAGGTTCCCATGTTTAACACTAGTAATGACATTCACGCTCATTCAGTACCTACTTTGCCTTTTCCTCTCTTCCCCGAAGCTTACAATTTAGCTATTCATGAGTTATTATCACAATTCCTGGAAAGCCAACAAGATTCTGCCCTCAGCTACCTGCTCTGCCTTTGGCAACTTGCTGTGAAAACAGGAAAAATCACGTCATCTGGCATATAAACTGTCAAACACTTTAACTCATGTTAATGCAGCTACTCACAATTTGTAATGACCGAGGAGAAAACATACCCAAGTGTTTTCTACTAATTGTGTTATGAGGCACTTCCAGTGCAGAGGCAGGATCTAGAGGTTCTAACTGTCACAGCTGAACTTAAAAGGCTTCACAGTTTAAGATCCCAATTTTTTTTTAACCTTGCCTCCCATTGTGTCTTGATACCTCACTCTTTCCAATTACCTCAAAGCAAACTTGCTGAAACTCAAACATTTTGAGCGTGCCTGAAGGCTTGTGAAGAAAAGTGAATATCTCATTTCCCCTACGTGCTGAGTTCCAGCTCTTGCTGCCTACCAGAACAGGATGGAGAAAAATGGAATCTGAATTTAGATTTTTGTTCTTCCTCATTATATTTGCCATAGATTCTGGAGACAGTTATGATCTGGAGGCCCTTGGAGAAAATTCTTACTCCAGGGCTCTTAGTTAAGACCCATCTATACTTCTAAAGCTGATTTTAACTATACTGGACAACAAGTTCTTGCTCTAGGAGGCAGAATTAAGAACAAAATCACAAAGGTGAGAGAGGTTTAGTTGTCACCAGGCAATGTCAAAGGGGTCAAATCTTCCATCAGTATATAATAGCTGATAATCTGAAGCCTGAACAGGCAAAAAGAGCATTCCACTGAAGCTGAAGAAATTGGGCCAGTTCTTATCAGCTGAGAAAGATCCCCTGCAAATTTCAAATCTCACTTAAATCTTGATTATTCTGCCATTTTATCTGCCTGATTAAATGGAAATTCCAGAGTTAAATATTTCCTTTCAAACAGTTTTGTAGCTTTCTACCATAGAAAGGGCGATACAGGACTTGCAAACACTATCCATTAGTGTAAGCAAGCTCTTGCTTTATCACTTAAGGCTCATTGTGAAGCCATAGTGTATGTGCTTACTTAGTAATTTTAATACAAACCCAAATTCATAACTCCCTTTCATTCTGAAGTACACTAAGATTCTGCTGATCTACTAGTTATTACTGTGGTATGTCATCGTAGCCCAATTACACAGTTAAGCAGGGCACCATCGCAGAAATAGCATGGAATCACACCTATATTAGTGTTGCAGTTTCCTGTAAAGAGGACATGTGAACTGGAGATAAAATAGAATTGTAAAGACTGTTAAGGACATCCCGTTCGTTGAGTCTTGGAATTAAGACACATAACACAGTACTTGGACTCATTTTTACAAAGTGATTTACAGAATCTGAAACATTACTACAACCAAGCAGGCAGTCTCACCTCTCTGTAATGCTGTGCATTAGATTCGTGCTTTGGTCAAACAGCACCTGGTAGCAGTTGTTAACCACAGGAAACAACTGTTGACTTTGTTGACCTGCACGAGTTATGTCTCTTCGTTTGTACTTGATTGATCTCCCAATAAATGCAGACTGCTTACCATCCAAGGGTTTAACACTGTATTTTCTGTAGCTCAGACCACTTATTGCAACTAGGATATACAGATCATAGGTAGATGGGGACTCCACTGAGGTTTGAACCTGTACATTAACATACACAACAATGCTTCATTACAGAAGATTAATTAGCAAGGCAACTCTTTCATGTGCCATAAGCCCTAAATTACAAAAAATAGCTACTACTTTAATAGTAAGTCTCTAAACCTGCCATTCCTATAATTCTAAATTATAAATTCATGCTGCTTTTAATTTAAGTCTGTTGAACTTGGATTAAGCTGAGCCTTTCTAGTGAAAGAAAGAAGGTCACTAAGCAAATTAAAAGGTTCAAGCTTATTTTAATGTGAACATGGAATTGTAGATTCTGATTTAAGATTGCACTGCAAAATGTCTACATGAGCAGAAATAATCAAAAATTAATCAGTCAAATGACAAAAAAGAGACTGACACATACGGGACGTGACTAGTGCAAGGAAGAGAAAACTCATGGAAAAAGGAGAAAGCACCCAGATGCACCCTCACCTTTAAGGAAGGCACATGGAAATGAAGCAGAAGTATGTAACAGACTTTTGAACAGTAAACAGAACACCAGTGTTACTTAATACTGAAATACCTTAAGCAACAGTTTTTGACCATCTTTCGATGACATGTATCCTGCCTGGTATAGTTATATAATTTAGTACCACTTCTGGTTTGGGGCAAGAAAATGGGACTAGATAAATACTGAGCAGATTATGTGCACAAAAAGGTTAGTTATGACTAATGAGAAACTAAAGCAAGTTGTCTGTACTTCATACTGTGGACTGGCATACGTCCAGTTACTCACACCACAGAAAACCTCCTGCAGTGGCATCAACGGGTCTACTCCTGATCCCTCCATACATAATACAACTCATGCATCTGGTGCAGAAGGCACCAGAGCACTTGCCAAGCTTCAGTTCCTCTCAGTCACATACATCAATGGTCTGAGCTAAAGCTTTCTTTCTGTCAAAAGGAAGGAGTGTGTGGTATGAATGCACTTTTGAACAGCACATATTGGAAACAAAAAAAGACCCCAAACCACCCTGTCATTACTGCTAAAGAGATTTCATTTAGCCTCAAGTGACTATCCACATGAATATATGAGTAACTTCTAGCAAAAGAGTACAGAGCAACTCCAGAACACAGAACTTCATCTTTTTGAAATAAAGAATGACAGTTTTACTTAAGGGCACCCTAAATCCTGAATAAATGCTTTAAATACGTGTCAATCCCTTCCTTGTATCTTACAAGCCTGAAGTAATTCAGACAGAAGGACTTCTGGGAGGTGACTGACAGATTAGCATGACCATGTGCTAACTCGAGATTGATGGATTCCAGGAAAAGGCAGCGTGGTCTTACACCATCATCACGTATAGAGGAACAGGAGAGAGCTGTTGTTATCACTGCCTGACCACACTGTGCCTTGATGTACACTGACAACCATAAGCCACAGGCAATAGAAACTCTGTCCCCCTGGCAGAACTCGCTGAGCTATCTGGCATCTCAGGGACAGAGGGGAGCATGTGGAATTGCATCAGGCCTCTTCAGGCCTTATATGCAGGAAGCATTCCTAGAGGTTTATCGAGCCATCGATGACAATGCACTCTCTGCAGCAGATTGTCCTGAGAAAGGCCAGTGCTAGATTTCACTTGAGGCCACTTTGTTCCCTCCCAGGGAACAGCTGGATGTGTCTTGGAGTTTGGCTATGACAGAATGAGCTGTCAAATGGCAGCTGACTGACACCAGCTTCTTTTGGGCTTGTAACTAAGACCTACATTTCTTAAATCTCTTCTTCTCCCTCCCCAAGGCAATCTGTCAGTTGCACACACAGAGCTGTCAATTGTAAATCGGGGCTTCAATGAAAATAGTTTTATTTGAAACAGTGTTTTTATAGAAAGAAAGACAAGATAAGAAGTGCCATGTCCCACACAGAAGGCATGCAAAGGACAAACCAAACACAATATAAAGGCAGCAAGTCTTTTTATGTAGTAAAAAAAGTCTCTCTGCTGAGAGAACAGGGAAGTAAAAAACAAACAAAAAACCAAGCAAGCAAATTAAAAAACCCTTAAAGGATGACTAGGAAAATCCCACTTTGACAGGAGGTAGGATCAGCTCAATGAAAACTGACAAGTGAGAGAAAAGTAAGATGAAGAAACAAAGTTAAAATACCTGTGCAGGTACAGGATGCCCCAGCTCATCATATACACTCATTGCCAAGTTGCCCACAGAAACTGTGACAAAGGTAGTGATGTTCCATGCCAGTGGATTGTAAACAACAACATACTGGTCAACCTCTGCAGCCCCTTTGTGCATGCAAACAAACAAAACTATCAGTCACTAATATTATGCATTTTAAAAATAGGCTATTAATAAGCATTTGAGAAATTTGTCTAGGTAAAACTATCTTACAAATTTTAACATAAAAGCCTGCAGTAAGACTTCATGATTGAAAAAAAGGAAAACATTTTCTAGAACTTGAGAAAATCCTCTTCTGCTTTATTCTTCCACTCTTTACCCAATCATAAGAGACTATGTCTTCAGAAAATGACACCTGAGTTGAATGTAAATGCATTTAGTGAAAATAAGCTGCTTACCACAACTCATTGTCACACAGTATTAATTTTATCACAGTTATACAGAAGATTAAATGAGAAGCCTAATCTAAAAACAGCCCTGTAAAAATCCAAATTGGTCTGTTGTGCAGCCCACGGCACTGCTTACATATGACAGTTTAAAAAGTTTCCAAAGTAAAGATAAAAGGGAATGTACAGTCTTTAGAACAGACTCCTTAAAAATCCTTTTACATTTTTTACACAAGCTATCAGTACATTATAGCAAGAACATTTCTTAACTCTGACTATTCTTCTTATCATGTAATGCTATGTTGCAGGGTAAGGTTAGTTTAGTAATTACCTCGATCAGCACCTCATCCTCCCCTCTGTTTTAGAGTTGAGGTCTGAATCTGGGAGCCAGGCAGAATATATGCACTGGGGTAGGATTCTGCCTAACATCAGTTTAGGGGTCCTGGTTTCAGCCACTTGAGGTCTGAGAGCACATGAATTTACCTGAGCATGCCTCAGGTCTAGCAGGATTTTCCAGCCCTGGTTGACAGAACTCAGGTGTACAAAACACATTGATTGTTTTGGGGAAAAACATGATAGCTCTCATAAGGTAGCTTGAAAATTGGAAAAGCTGTGTAAAAAGTACCTGATATTCCTGAGTCTTTAGGGTAAACAGAAGAATAGACCTCTCTGTTCTTCTTTGCATCGTTCATGTCAAAGATTATGGAAGCCATCAGCTTCTTTACGTTGAACACTCCATACATCAAGTTAGTCATGTACATGTCCCTCACCTTGGGAGACTCTGTGCCTGTTATACCATCGTGGTGCTGGACCTTACATTTAAGGGTGGTTTGAAAGGTGCAACAGGAAGACAACTTAAGGTTTGCATTTGTACTTACATGATCCACTAAACTTAAGACATATAACTTAATAAGCTGTTGCAGCTATATTCACAGATTCACATTTTGCCTACTCCAAATTTCTATATATTGCATGAAATGATCAAAGACGAGATGCATGCAGATTTCCCTCCATACATATTCCTCTTTTAACATTTAGAAATGACTGAAGTTACACACTTAGAGGAAAAAAAAAAGTTATCAAAACCAAGAATGCAGCAAAAATATCATAACAAGACAGGTTTTTCATTTCCTACTAAGATCTGGTCCTCAGCTGACAAAAGAATTATTACCAGCAAAAGCACTGATAACTGTAAATGGTTAATGGTATGAGGCTGATCAGTTAGTTGCTGAACTTTGAAGAAACAAATCTGTCCTTCTTCTTCTAACTTGCAGAAGTAGAGATTATCAGTGGTTTTTAGTTAGTTCAGTTTTTGGTATTTTTTTTCTTTTAAGAACAATTTTGTAAATAATAAAACTAAAATGAATACAAGGAATTTTGTATGCAAAGTTTGAAACCACATACTCTTTCACTGGTTAAAGAAAATATTTGCCAGTAACCATGTCTTGAATGCATGGCCAAAGGGCTGAAGTCATGTTTCAAGATATTTTTTTAAAAAATTGCTTTATTTTTACTTATGACTTGCAAAAGGGGAAAATTATTTCCAAAAACACAAAAGCAAGTTTGAGACACTACAGCTGAAATGCAAAGCTTTACGTTTGGACAATAAACATTTTCATTCAAATTAAAAAAAAAAAAAAATCAATGTTTACCTCTGAAACTGCCCATCTAAGACTCTGAAGTTGCTTTAAGGCTTTACACTTGCAAATAGAACCTCCTGGGTGTTTCAGGACGTACTGTGTGAAAAAGGATTCTCCAGCATAAAGCAGTGAACTTGCTCTCCTTGCAATTCCTTTCAACGTGCTCCGAGAGGTATAAAACCCAGTCCACGCTTGAAATGGCTCTGTGAAGAGTTGAACAGATCCAATACATGGCAAAACACCACTTCAGTTATCACTTACTTGTTACTTATTAGGCTATTACTGTACAGCTTCTTATATGAGTACTACTAGGGGGGTTGTGACAGCAGCCATCAAGTAGAACAGTCACAAAGCCTATGAAGAAACCCAGCCATAAATGTGCTCTTTGGGAAACTACCACCTTTCCTACAGGCCTTGTAACCTGCAAGCTGATGAAAAGCCAGCATCGACTAAGGTAACCTGTGTCTGCAGGAGTTTCCTCCTGCACAAGAGATCTTCCAAAGTTTCACTGAAGCATGTATTATTATTAGTCATTAATAAAGTAGATTACAATCCTGGGTTACTGCTTTATATAAGCTCTCTACTTTTCAAACTTTTAATCTAGGGGATTTATCTTAAATTTTATTTCCTCAAAATGGAGTAGAAGTAGTGATGTGATGGTTCCAAACTACTCCAGCACTTCAAACTACATCACAAGATGCCCCCAAGTGGACACTGGAAAGTATTTCAATAGTCCATTTGTGCTAATGTTTCAGTATCCCACAGAGTGAACAAGGAAAACAAATATTTGCTTTTAGAACCTCCAAATCTCTACTGAGTGTGTGTGGGGGGGTTTTTTGTTTGTCTGGGGAGGATTTTTTTCTTTAATAAACCACTGATAGTTTTCCCAAAAAGAAGTTGCAGAAAGTGCCTTCTAAAGTGCACATATGCAAACGTAACAATCTGCTACCAGCCTAAGATCAACGAGAACAATTAGAAAATAGGATCTTTTGATCAAAAAACTCCAGGACAAATTCTTTTTGGCCTTAAAGAGGCTGTAAGTTTCAACAGAATGAATTCCATTTCAGTTTTCAAGGTTACAAGCAGAAGAGACACACACACACAGCAGCACAGTACAATGAATGTAGAGTAGAAGGAAATACTTACCTGGGACTTAAAACTTGAATTTGAGAGAAGTAACACTGAGCCCAATAAGTGACTCACAGAAAAAAAAACGGCGTAGCAAGAATGAGAGGGGATCAAGAAGCAAAACAGTATGTGGGAGAAAAGTGCACTCAAATCTATACTGCAATTGTAAAGTACAAAAAGCCATTTGGGGAAAAAACTGCATCTATGTGTGGGCACCCACCTGGAACACTGAAGGGGCTGCTATTATGGAAGTTAATAGCAACTGACTCCTGCCGGTATATTATGCCAAAAGATAAAACTAAGAGCCCAGATGCAAAAGGATATTAGCAGTTAGAGTTGGCAATGCATTTATCAGCAAGTTGTTAGATGTGACACAATCCCTAGAGGGAGGTGAGGGAGCCAGGGATCAGTCCACACAATGACTCACAGGAAGCAATGGTTATTTTTACTCACTGAAAAGTTAACAGACACATTACAGAACAGCCTGAAATATACATCCACAGTGACAAAAAAATGTGATGAAGCAGTGGTAGCTACAATTATACAGATAGGTATTCTAGTGATATCCATGACACTTTATAATAAACCAGGTAATGAAACAAATCAATGAGACAGAGAAGTTAGCTGTGTCTTCTCTCTGCATACTTTGATATAAGGCCTAAAAGGATAAATTTATTGGGGAAAAGAATTAAAGGGATGCTGGGTATGGCATGACTTCTTTCCTGTCTTCTTTGTACTTTTCAGCTCTCCTTGAAAAGCTGAGTTAATGCAGCATGTAAGATGCAAGTAAGCAACAAGCAGCTGTAATGAATTTCTGCCACATCATATTATGAAATTTCAAAAATACTGATGGTATTTTTACTTTTTGAGACTTCTGTTATGACAGAATTTTCTTCCTCCCCCTTCAGAATTTAAGACCATCTTCTTTAGTGAAAAAGACAAGACTCTCTCCTTCAGGAAACTTTAGGGGTTCATCTACATTAATATTTTGTTTAGATCAGGCCATTCTTACCTAGTACGCTTCGCTTTACATAAAAGATCAGGTTTGCAGCTCACAAACTGGACTCCTGATGAGATGCAACAAGCATTAACGGGCATTCAAGCCCATATGACCAGATTATATCCAATTTCCCCGGAATTACTTAAGAGTGTGGACATCGAATCCTCAACAGTAACTGCTTCACTTTCCCAACTCCTGTTCCACTGTACTAACACAGAAATACCCTAAGAGCTTGCAGACTGCCTTGGTCCCTTGGTTACCTGTCGCTTCACTTTCAGACATTCACAGATCAGTCCTTGTCACATTTTCCACCTTTGCTTTAAGCTGTGCATAATCCAGTTGTTTTAAACTGTATCAGTGGGACATTGTTTTATTTGGTCATGCATCCATCTGTTCCTAGGCATCTTTCCATTTATCAGTTTCCTTTTAGTTCCCTGGATCCTAGAGGACTGTGTCCTTACTATAGCTTAATTTGAGGGAAGAGGAGGAGAGCTATAAGATACACATCTAATATTGCAGAATGCCTACGACGCTACTAGTTATTTATGCATGCTATTGTGTGGAAGGCAGAGAAGAGAAAGAATTTCAAGTTAAACACCCAAACATGAAACAAATAGTCAAAATCTATATTTGAAGGAGAATGGGTCCTAGGATCTCTGCTTTATGGACTTGACACAAGACCCTTCCAATGTCACAAGAGACTTCTTGTGTTAGTTGTGCTGATACACCTCTGCAAAGCACCTTTGCTACCACTGCTGTCTGCTAACTGGTTTGAAGTGTGTTACACACTTTGCAGTATTTTTCACCTTCCTCAATCAACTGAAATACCCAAAATACCCTACTGAATTTCAGCCAGGTGGCCTAAGCCTGCAGGTTTAGCTCATTGCTCACTGTTTTCACTGTAAAAATGTGATTAGTGCAGTATTTATGCATTTCTTCAGCACATTAAAAAAAAATATTGGCTGCCATTACATACTTAAATAGATACCTTATGCTTACCTTTCTTTCGTACTCTATTGTTACTCAGACAGCAAAACAAAAACTTCAAGTTAGATTGCTTGTCAAATTTCCCTATTTTTAGACTCACTCTTTCTTTGTCTCTTTCTTTACCCATTGTTTCCAACGTACCAAAGAAATATTGCAACTGTGGCCCTACCATCTTTTTTTACACAACTAAGTGGGGATCCAGCTGTTTATTGATGACAACTGGTAGGGCAAACAAATCTTATACGAAGAATGTGGTTTTCCTCTGTATTTCTCATTTGCCATTATTAAAATTTTACATATGTACATTCGAGGCAGACATTAGGCAGCTGTGAACTTCATTACCTGTTGAATATGGGAGAAAGTCTTGAGAGTTCCGAATTTCCCATGTCAGATTCCTGCTATAAACCGCTTGGAAGTAATCACCAACAGTGGCATACTGGACAGTCACTCCAAACTCATCAGAATGCTCGTTAATGTAATCCAACAACAAGTCCATGTTAGAGTACTGAACAGATGCATTAAAGAACTGTTTGTCACAGCCCTAAAATTCCAAAAACAGAACAGCCAAATGACTATGGGTCACATAATTTAGAAGGATCCTTTTTAATACCAGTCTATATTAAAGTGGTATTTCCTTTGATCTTGACTGCCCATAAAAAAAAAAGATATTTTTTACATAACTGTCAAGAGTGGATAGGGTTACTTACACAGATCGGCTGATAACCAACCAGAATTACAGACAGGGAGAAGTGTGTTGACACACTATATTATGCAAAAGCATGAAATTTCATGGTACCAAATGAAAAATGCATACACACATGCCTGGAAAGATGACCTTTGTTTCTTTTCAGAGTGTACTTCTCCCACTCAGCAGAAAATAACCAAGTTCTTATGTTCTGCTAAGAGTTCTTACAGTTTTAGGAAGTGCTGAGGACATGATGTGAAAACAATCAATCTGGATGGAGATCACTGCAGTATAAATGTCACACAATGTGATACTGATCCCCCCTCACAAGAGTAGGCTACAGTACTTCTGATACTCATCCAAGCAGTTAAAGAGGTGATACACTGTGCATTAAAGCCCCTCTCTTTTTGAGTATGCTGGCACAACTTCTGCCTTCTGTTAAAGGTGTCTCAACACAGACTGTTTGCGTGTAAAAACATTCAAAAAAAGCATAACTAAGCACAACCTTGTTCAACTACAGTAACTGAACAGGAAAATAAGAGTTACTCAGCGATGGCATTACATGTATCCTTCAGTTATCAGTATTACAGTACATCTGAATAGTATTACATTCATCTGAAGCACAGTAACATGTTAAGATACCTCCTTCACATAACAAAGCCACCACTGACACCAGCTTAATGCATCCTCATCTTTATGTCTCTGTGCTTGAGATAGAAAATACTGCATAGGAAGTCAACACTTTGTTTTTGTGAAAGCCACATAAAATCCTGATCTCATTTGCAAGATAAAGATGCTTTCAGCACTATTCTTCCAAAAATAAACAATTTTTTTTCAGAAATGGCCAAGGAGGATCTATTTTCTTCACAATTCCATCTTCCATCCCAATGCTCTACCTGCTGTGCTCCATGGGTTTCACCTCACGAGCTGAACTCATTCACCTCATGCGAGAGTTGAATTTGATAAGTTCAACTGAACTTAGAAGCAAATACTCCTGCCCTCCTCTTTCCCAGATGAGAAGGCCACCCCCACCCCTTCCCCATTTACTACATTTTTCAAGTAAGGTTTCTGTCACATTCCTTATGAATCCTAGTGCGCATGCCTGTCCTTCAGACCTAACAGGTTAAGCCACTGACGAGAAAAGTAGAAATTCTACTTCCAAACCAGAAAAGTTCTTCACAGATACCTTAAGATCTTCTGCATGCATAAAGCACAAACTGGAACACAACTTCAAACTGGAATGAGCTACTAAGACATATAAAAAAAATCAACCCAGAACTGAAAAGTCCTGCAGTCAGTGCAAACCAGACTTCCTACTGCTCACTCCAATCACAATTCAGAGGAAGTAATATGTTAACCAGTTAAAACTACTTCACATTTATAGAACGCTACTTTCAACCCTTGATTCAAGAAGACTTCCTCACAAAGTGTAGACACTTTGCACCACAGAAGAGGATGTGCTGGGCTGACAGACACCACTCACACTGCACAGACCACAGTAGCTGAGGAGCAGTGTAGCTCTGTAGAATAAGGACATCCAGGAGGACCTGCTTTAGTTTGCCTTCACATCCACTCTCTAGGTGAACAAAACTTTGCAAAGGAACACTATATATTACTATACAATTAGTTTAACCACACTGGCCAAAAAACACCTCCAGGATCAGTTCCAGCCCTGAAAATACATCTGCTGCTATGGCCTTCAAAGAGGCAGGTTTGAACTTTTACATTACCCTACAGCCCAATGCCTCCTCCAGCACAACTAGGTGTTTCTGATCACGAATGAACACTTGTTTGTCCATGTAACTCATCACAAAAGTGATAACAGTTTAAATGTGAGGTCTGAGCTTAAATGGGAAAGTATGTATTTCCTCTTTAATTAAAGGAAAAAAAAGAAATCCAAGTACTTCAAAGTATCTGTAATTTTGAAAAAATAGTACAAGATCATAGTATATCTATTTCTTTCTACTTCTATATATAGTACCATGAATGAGCAACAAAATTTGTTTAAAACTCATTATCACAAACACACAAATCCAGAAGTCAGAAACTGAAGTTTTCTCACATTACTGCAAAACTTCAGGTTTGGATCTAGATGTTTGGGATTTATGTGTACTATCCAAAACTTCCTCCCCATTCCAGAATAACTTTCATTATAGCACTACTACAGAGTGTTATATCCTACCTTATCTTCTTACTCTCTATAAAAAATAATAAACTCAATATAAGCAACAGTGTCACAAGCACAGGAGAAAAACAAATCAGTGACTCAAAGCTGCATCAGTCAGAAAATGTTTGTTTTCTTTGCAACAACACATTTGGTGGTGAAATAGCCACTTTAAGAAGATACATCACCCTTTAATATTAAGAGACCTGCAGCATCCATCAAAATTAAAAACCAGACTGTATTGTGCATTCAGTTTAGGCAAAGTTACTCTTTTCTAAGGACTTAAAAACAGCAAGAGCATATCAGTGCTATGTGTACATGTAGGATGCAATTAACACGGCACACTGCTGAAAAAAGTGTTTGGATGACCAAGCTGGTATATGCTTATGTTTCTAACTAAAATACAACGATGGTGTAAGAAAATGATTACACATTTTCTGTTAGAAAGGACTTGGTCTACCTAATGTGTCATATGTTTTATCGCAATGCTATAATTTTTGTTAACACAGAGTTACATTGTGCTAAGCAGTTACATAAAGACATGATTTAAACAGACAAACCAGAGAGACAAAAGGAAGCCATACTGCAATATACAGTTTTGTAAGAGATTATCTTTAGAGTTTTGTCACATTTCCTTCTATGTTAAGTAGTGTGGAAGACTTGCTAGACAGCAGGCAGATTGTTCAAAGAAGTTTTAGAAATCATTACTAGTAACACATTTGGACAACACTTATTAGGAAAAACACTTTATGTCACGTGGTTTGTATGTGCATTCGTGCAGTACACGCTGCAGCAAAGTACCATTATCCTACTGCCCTCAGTGAATTTGCTACTTCTACAGCAAACGCTGGTGAGGTGAGGCACTTACCCAGGGCCACAACACATCACTTGTTCGGAACCAGGCTGCTCTCTCCTTAATGTTTGCCACCATGGTTTGTGCATACTGATGGAGGTTAGCATCTGTAACAGGGAGACTCATGTTTGGATAAACACCATCTTTTGGGGGATCTGGGAAAGTTGCAAATCCATTCCAATAAAACGCTGACCTAAAGGAGAAGCAGAAAGCAGTAGGTTATAAACAAGTTTATTCAACTGGGAAAAACACATCAAACTGTGCTGGTACAAAATGCAGATACACACAGGGAATTAGAGGTAAGAAATCAGTTTATAATCGTTGCTAGTATTTAGGTTTTAGTATTTACTTGGGAGGTAGAGGGAAGATTGCCCCTGAACTTTTCTTTCAACGCTCTGCAACTTTTCAAATCCCAGCTGCTTGTTGGCATAGAACAAAGAAATCATAGGACAAACCAGAAAGCTTTGTAACAAAGATGTTCCCCCAAGCAGACTTAGTTTACAGAGTATTTTACCGAGTAAGCCGGGGAGCAAAATAAAGTTTTCAAAAGCTGTTAGATTTCTTCAAAAAGTAAATGGAAAAGGACTGACATTTTACACATATATATACATATATATATTCTTATATATGTACGTACTCATATATATTTATATGTATATATATAGGTATGAAAGCCATAGCTGAGTTCCAAGCTTCCTGGTGCTAGAAAACATTATTTTTCAAGTCTGTCAATATTCTGAAGTATTTTAATGCCTGTCAGTAGTGTCACTTTTTGAGAATTTAATTGCTAGGTACTGAGAAAACTTCATTTATTACAGAGGGTAACTGGGGGTGCTTAATAATCCTTACTCTAGATCTACAGATCTAGACATCTCTTCTTTGACCTTCCACAGGTCAGAAGAAAGCAGTAGAACATTGTTGAAAGGAAACAGTCAAAGAAAATGCTTAAACTCCAACAATATAAACTCTCAGAAGTGAACAACATTTCTGCTTATTTGGGAAATCTTCAGACCTGTTTGAAAAAGGTAACTGCGATGGAGTACAGTAGCTGTACTGATCCATAACATGGGTGAAGATCTCCTGTCTTTCAGACAAGGAAGGAGAACCCTGCCAGACAAACTGAAGCTTCTGGAAAACAAAAAGGTAAGAAACCATTACTCTTGATGACAAGCACAGAAATACATCATTAACATAATAAATACATAACAACTCAAGACTTCAGAGTTTCCATCTTCTCTTCCACCACTTGTAATACTTTTAAGTGTTTTTTTTGAAGAACAGCCAATGGAACCTCAGGCAAGGTCACCACTATATACAGGAAGCTACAGCATTGCCTTGTTCTATTATAACTGATGGAAAAGGAGAGGAGGAAGCACAATGCCAGCATTCTAAAATCCAGATGTAAGCCTGACTTACCACAGCCATCACAGCTCACTTGTTACAGTGGAAGGTGGACACCTACAAGCTAGGAGAGATCCAGATGTAGTCTGATTGCACTGTAGTCACTGGAAATCAATGTTTAATCAGCTGAAATAGAGTTTTTACAGTTTTGGAAGCCTTCAGACTGTGAAGTGCCAGAAAAAAATTAGCTGGGCAAAGATTGTCAAAAGCCCATAAAAGATTTTAGCAGAAAGGAAGCATTGCACTTCACTGCCAACACAAGGTGATTGGTCCCTGTTTCACCAAATTCAACAGGAATTCTGTTGTCTTCTGCAGAGACACTTGAGTTTTATCCAAGAGTCATAAAAACTGTCTCATGCCCAGATCACAGTGAAAGCCCTTATTTTCACATAACCTAGCAAGTAAAACTGATGACAGATCAGGATTCAACACTGCGATATGAAAAGCATTTACTGTGTATAGGACACTCTGTGAGAGAAGGCAGAACATGAAACAAAAACTGAATTCAGCAAAATCATGAATAGCTGCAACTCTAATTGCCCCAGTGTTACTAATTTTACAGGTACAAATAAATGTTGCAAGCCTGACAACACCATGCCCAAACATACACACTACACTTTAAAACAGTCCACACAAAAACTGACAGATCCAAGATTTTCTCAGGGAAATCAAACTTATTTTAGATACCTCTGATTCCAACACTCCTAATTCAACGCCCGCTTAGACTTGCCCAACTGCCCACATTCCGTGTCTTCTTCAGGCTAGACTACATTTTATCCTTGACCAGAAGTCATGAAGACATCACTTGACCACGTAACACAGATTTAGTGTGTTCCACCATAACCACATGCAATCAGCATGTCACTTTTAGAGAAGAAATACCTGCATTTTCTTGCATAGATCTGAGAGATGTTTATCTTAATGTCATGGTTTAGATTACCGTAAGGAGAGGCTGGCAATGGTTTCATTCCTAAGGCCATTTTTACCTTGTTTTTCTGCATGTCAGCCTTCAGATCATAATCAATCCGAGAAATAAGATGAGCATTAAAACCAGCCAGAGCAAAAAGAGTTGGTGTTGTAGCTGAAGCTCCGAAAGGATCAACATGCCAAGAAAACTGAGGCCTGAACCCAAAAGTTTCATACAAAAATCCATGGCCTTCTGCAAAGCAAAATTTGTTTGGGTTAGGAATACTTTTCAAAGTTAATTTTATAAATTTAATAGGCACATAGTGTAACAGATAAGCACTTAAAGGATAGGTCTTTGTTGCTATTTTCCAAAGCAGTCAAAGTTTCAGGAATTCAATGATTCACAGCAAAAAATGTCACACTATTTGTTTTGCTATGCCTAGTATAACTCATCAACATTATAAAAGATGAATAACAAAAAGGAATTATGATCAGAGACAGGCCTGGGAAAAAGTGCTTAGATACAGATTAAGTTAAGGCTAATAGCGAGGTTGGAATCTGCAAGAAAACAACAAGCTGGGGTTTAATTTATATTTGCTCAAATCATAAAACCCATTCTCAGAAAATTTCAGTGTCATATCAGTGACAAAGGGAGAAGGAAGCAAGCCATCCAGTAAACAAAACTAGAATGAATACAATCCTCAGTCATATAAAAAGAAAAAAGCCAAAGGTTAACAGCAATCAAGATGCTATTTACAACTAAATGTTACTCAGTTTTGTACAGAAATGAGTTTTGAAAAAAGAAACCCCTAAACTAGAAAGACCAGATAATACAATAAACTCAAGGGAAAAAAAAATCACTTAAATGAAAGTAAAACAACCAGTGAAGCAATAGGTTTTATTTGGAATTCCAGTATTTCCGACTAGAATCCTCACCATAAAACAGCCACCCCACAAAAAAAAAACCCTCCGCAAAACAAAACCAAGCTAATCCCCCCAAACAAACAAACAAACAAAAAAACCCAAAAGCAACCAGCCAAGCAAACACACAAAAAAATCCCCATTGCAGATCCTAATTTCCTAGTTACAGAATTGTGCTCAGAACTATTTGAAAACACAATCATATCTTTCCCCATTTTGGACTAATTCCTGTTCAAATGTTAATATCACATTTGAAAAAGTGAGCTTGCAAGGCCTCTTTTCACTTCATCTTTTCCATGGTTAATGTCTTCTGTAGGGAAAATATTCACAATGTGTTTATTTTAACTCTCCTAATGGAAGCACATTTGAAATAAGAGTTTGCCAGGCTCTTCCAAAACACAGCTGGTTGGACAGACAGACAGTAGAAGACATGAAATGTAGACCCCAAATATCTGCACTGGCTCTGTTTTCTCAACTTGAACTCCACACATTCAAGGATACTTTTTTTTTTTTTTTTTGTATGTACTCAAACTGAGCAGAGTGCTTCCAGGAAAAATAAGTGAGAATTTTAAAATATATTAATACTTCTGTTCCTCATGAATAAGTTAACAAACTTGAATTTTCTTTTTTTTTAGTATGTTTATACACAGAATAAAATATTAAATTAGAAGTAATGTCTTTTTCAGCTAACTTCAATAAAAGACAAAGCTGTGTTTGCAGTAGTTCATCTCCTCTGTTCCCCTTGGCCACAGTGTGATGTGGTGACTCACTGAGATACAGAAGCAGCTGCTAATCTTGTGCTCTTGATAAAGCAAGGAACAAGGCCAGTGGTGCTGTGCAGATTCAGAAAATAACAGAAGTGTTTCCTGGCCCTTTACTCTCCCATGTAGAAAGCTGCATAGAGTGGAGCCCTGAAATGGGCAGGGTTTCTATCAGCCATGGAAGCTGGTACTAAAACATCCCCTCCCTGCTACTCCCTCATGGCACATCACAGACATCTGTAGCACAGTGGTGGCACTATTTATCCTGTTTATTTCTTCATTAACCAGATAAACCTGTGTACTAAAAGACTCTCTAAACCATCAGATGGCCAGGTGTAACACACAAACAACTGGATGCAGAAGCTGGGAGATTAAAATGGGAAATAGTGCATCTCTTGCAAATATGCACATTCTAACAGAAGCTGATGATTACAAATGGGGGTTTCTTCATCAAGTAACTAATTTCAGATGACCTCAGTGACATTCCACGGCTCCCATTATGCCGAAAATTTTGTCAGAACAATACCACCTGCCCACACTCTGAATTGCTACCAGGTATTTTCTTGCAGAGTGTTTCATACCCTCAATTTCACCATAACTATCTTCCCAGGAGCTTAAGCTCTCACACACACACACACACACACACACACACAAAATGCCTCTGCTCCAAACGAGTTTATAACTGACAAAACAGCTTTTGGTAACCCTTCTGCTTGCTGCAGAACTGTCATGGTTTTTATTTTTTTTAAAGCAAAGATTTTTATATAAATAACCCACCAGCAAGTAAAAAATATGAGATCTTTCATCAGTTCTTAAAGAGTAAGAAAATAGTAGCAATTTCTGAGGTGGAAAAAAATGCAAAACAAAACCTCCAAGGTCATAACAATGAAAAATAAAAGTGAAATGCAAATATGATACCCGTCAACTGTAAAATCTGATCATCAATTAATGTCACAGCTTCATCATGCATCACTTGTCCTCCAATGACAAATTCCAGTCGTCCCTCCTGAAGCAACTGATGGACCTATAATATTGAAATTAAGACACAGAACATAAACATCATTTCAGTCTTATCCAAAAAGGCTGCAAATTCATTTCAGATCACAGCACATTACCCAGACACAACACTTGTCAAGGCTGCATCCAGGACCAAAAGTGGGATAAAAGGCTGTCTGTACTAAATGCTATCAAAAGGAGAATAAGGAGAAGGAAAAAAGCATACTAATGTGTTGCACAGTGCACTGATTTACCCAGCTTGCACTGAAACCAGGTAGCAGACACATAAGGTGCACTGCCAGATACACACTGATGTTTTGGTATTTCCCAGTAGGGCTCTTACTTTGCCTTTTTATACTGTCTAAAGACCAGACTCATCCCCATACACTGCACTGGCAGCAGCCTACAATCTTGTCTGCTGCAGCATCCTTCTTAGCTTAAGGAAGGTATTGGGTGGCTGGATGAGGGAACAATATGCAACCCCCTGCAAGCAGCAACAGAGCCCCAGGCATGCAACAATATTCAGGCTTCCAAGGCTTCCTTCCATTGGAGACTGAGATCTGTGGGATCCAGGAGGGAGACAGTGTGTCATCACACACATACCTCTTCTACTCTGTTATGCATCTGTCTTGCCTTTGGAGCAGAGACAAGTTGCTCAACTTGTGACAGACAAATTGCTTTATGAAGAAATAGTAAGTCCATGGTTTTGCCTGCCTGATAACCTCACTGCTTATCTGCATTTCTGGTCTCTTTTTCCTAGGTTAAAAACTGTTCAGCTTTGGGCGGTTTTTTCGCATGTGTTGTTTTGGGGGGTTTATTCTTTTTGGTTGGTTGGTTTTGTTTGGGGGTTTGTTTGCTTGTTTTTTTCTTAAATTTCAGCTACTACAAACAACAGGTATGCTGACAAGTATAACTTCCAGCAAATGCTGGATGAAGTAGGGGGTGGTGTTTGGAGGGAGGAACGAGTAGCAGTGTGCCCCTTTCTAAAAGTCTTACTGAGTCTTCTGTTTTTATTATAGTTACTCCACTACAAATTGAGAGCTATCTCAAACTTCCAAAAATAAAGTTTATATAAATATGTATTTAAATTCCCACCTTTTTTTTTTTAAATCTGCCATAGGATGCCAGTTCCAGAGCTATTATGTTTATTTCCCCAGGAACATTCAGTGTCTGCTAAGATAGGATGCCAGATTGTCAATTTTGATTATAATCATTTCTCTCCTTCTCAGTGTTGTGAAAACGCTTCAGGGCTCAGCATTCCTAAATTAGTTCCAGCTGACTGTGGTGACTGATTAGCATGCTGGGAGACCAGATAATTGATATCTGGTGTCAGCACAGAACTGGCCCTGACCTACATGAAAAGAATCTGTGATTATTATTCTCCATTTGGATGGATGTCCAAAATATACCTCTGATCCAAACTTTGGGCCACAGAAACATTTCTTTAATGTAAACTTTGTGGAACTACTGAGAGGGTGAAAAAACCAAGAAAAATACTTCAAGGAATTTAAATAATATCTAATCCCCCATCAAAAGGAAAAAAAAAAAAAAAGGTAAGAAAACAGTAAGGACGAGCACTTTTTCTGACCAGAACAGGGCAAAAGGAAAGAGGAATGGAGAAAACAGATACAGTGGTACTGTAAGCAGCAGCTTAGAACATACCTGTGACCCTTGGGACAATATCACAGTCCTTACCTCAGCTCTTGTATACAAACCAGATAGAAGTGGCTACACATCATTTTTTTTTTTCCTAGTTAAAGCAGCCAGACATCAAACCAGGACAAGGAGATAAGAAAAGTTCACACAAGAAAATACTGTGGAAATAACATGTACCGAGAACTACAAGGTCCATACTGATGCAGTATCTTTCACTCCTACATATTCTCTTATCTGAATTGCAAAACTAGCTTCTGTACCCAAGCTGTACCTTTTCTTAGTTTTTAATGCTATTGTTTCAATCCAAAGCAGACACTTCAAAAGAAACTAGAATTAAATCCTGTATTCCAAGCAAACCACTAAGAAAAAAAAAAGGAAAATGAAAACCAGAGTGCCTGTACTATAGAAAATCATTAATGCTAGAGTTCATGTGGAAAAAGCAGGACAGTAACCAGAGTGACCTAATTCAGGGACCAATATTTGCAACTTGCTAATGTTAAAAACAATGTAATTTATTTGCAAGCATCACAGCTCCTAAATTAGAGATTCAATGTTAGACACACAGGTTCTAGAAGAATTTGTTTTTAACCATTTTATTTTTCAGAGGAGCAACTACAAAATAACTCGAGAACTGACTATAAAATGTGTAAAAGCAACAATTATAAATAATTAGGCTACGAAATCAAGGGCTGAATCATAAGTACTAGTTTTGCACTACTGAGGTGAAATGTGACACACATTTATTCTTCTGGATTCCACATAATAGCAAGAATAGATATTAAAAACATGGGCGCTTTTTATTTCAGTTATAGCAGCATGACATATTTGAAATAAGATCAACTTGCCTTAGAAATTTAAAGGACTCTTCTGTCCCTGTAGAAAGCACTTCCTATGCTATTTTCTTCCCCACCCCAGACTTACAGTATAAGTTTACTAATTAAAAAAAAAAAGATAAGAAAATCGCCTTGCAACAGGCAAGTATGGGCAAAGTGTCCACACAAAACCAGCAAACTGCCCAAATCCAGCAAAATCTCTCATGCAAAGATCAGCTGCATGCAGGCTGTGTGTAAGCTATTATTTAAATACTGAATATTACAGAAGATTCAGAATTTAGTGAAGGACTTTGTAAAAAAAACCCAAAAAACAGACAAGAGGTGTGTTTTTTACACAATGCTTTAAACATCTTTAAACATCTAAACATCTTCTTCCAAAGAACTACAATGTGAAGTACTACAAATAACATGCTACTGTTGGCTGGACCCTGGTAACAAAACACACCATGGAGCTCTGAGTAAGTTCCTATGGGAAGCTGCACCTGTGTACCCTTTAGTTTTAGGATCCAAAACAAACATCTGCACAGCTTCTAGGCTACCAGCCCAGTCTTTGATTTCAGTATGTTTGTTCCACGCCAGAAGAAAGAAAAAGTGACAAATAAAACCTCGTGATGTCTTCACTAGAAAAAAAACATGGTGCCATTGAATCCACAGTCACCTCTTTGCTGTAGTATCCTTGTTTACAAATGGAGGTTTTTGAGCAGTACTTAACTGAAAAGAAAAAAGGTTCCTTCTTGTGAGCAGTGTTAGGCTTCAGATGTTTTAACAGATATTGGTGCAGCCTCTTTCAGAATCACCCACGTCTTATACTTGCATGCCCCCAGGTAAGTAAGTTGCCAATGAAACAAGAACTGCAAAGTCTAAAAAGTCTTCAGTGCAAAGGTCACTACCTCCTACTGCTCTAATCTATAGCTGGGGCTTAACCTCTTGCAACTGCCTTTAGAATTAAGGCCCTTTCATACGAAGTGCCAGATTCAGAGACAGCTTGCACAAGACCTGGGTAAAAAGCAAATGGTGAAGTACTTTGCCCCTACTGGTCCCCTGAAAAGAGTGAGGATTCCTTGTTAGCAGGAAGCATGGCTCTAGTGCAGTTTACCTGCTGCTTCTGTGCATCTGTGGCTACCCCATCCCACCAGAGTCGAAAGAATTCCTGCTCCACTGCAATAAATTTGCGCTGTTTTCCTTTCATTAGCTCTTCTATAACAGTTGTGTAGACATTTGCTGCATAAGCATGCATACTTTCCTGGAAAAAAAAAAAGAAAAAGAAGTAAATAAGCCCTGTTTTGCCTATATTAAAAGGGCTGTTTTAAACACTCATTGGGCTTGAAAACCGAGAGGTTGAAAACTTCACATTTACTGCACACTTCCTTTGTACCTCAGAAAGGCCAAGTTCTGATTATGTACAGCCCTTTGACCCTTCTGCTCCAGAATACATCCCCGTGACTGGGGCCTGACTAGATCACAGTGTCGCTTCCCCCAAGATCACCAGACACTATTACAGGTTTTCTTTTTGACATACTAGGAACAGCTTAACCAGTTCCTCATTGCTCACCTTAAATCAATGTCATGAATGGTAAGACTTTGCACCAACAGAGTTAAAACCTCCCCATGCACACTTTATCCTCCTGCTCCTGCTCTTCTTTTGACGGCCCGAATTACCAGAATTGCTTCTTCAGAGCGAGTATGACTCTGTGCTGTGGGTGTGCATTGCCAGTACAACACAGTGATACATACACTGTAAATTATACTATTGTGAAAAATAACTCTAATGTGCCTCTTTAAGGATAGAGTAAAATCAAGCTGGTAAAGGAATCTTAGAATGAGTTTGACTGTTGACGCAGAAACACCCAGTGTGAGAATTTGTGCATCTTACGTTGTCTATGTCCCTCCTAAAGATACCTCTATTCCAGAACAAGGCCTACAGACTTTTATTGGAATGCAAATATTACAGCTGTATCCATCAAAGAACCATCACACCGCTATATTCAATGATATGGTATCAAATTAACAACATCACATTAATTTTGAAGATATTTTATGTACATTTACCTTGGCCAGAACAACTTCTGCTGACCAGATACAATCTACCACCTTTTACTTAATTTCAGAGTGATACAGAATGTCTAAAAACAACAGTGGAGACTCCAGGATTTCCTGAAATGTCTGTCTCTTCTTGTAACAAAGTAATCTGCATTTATAGCACACTTATTTTACACTAACCATAACACTTTTCTACTTAAACTGCTGGTACTCAACAACACACACCACAACGCTTACATCTTTAAATGACTGACACGCAGACCTCTGGACCCTCTAAAAACTAATGGCCACGATATGTAAAACATGAATCCATAGTTTAAATTTAGGCAAATTTCCTACACAAAAATCACCCTTTGAAATAAGAAGATGACTAATCCAAATCAGAAATTAACTTTTCCTAACCCCTTGCTTTCCACAACAGAAATTCAGCCATCTTTGTAAAAATGCTCATGTCATTAGAAAAAGGAAAACATTTGAGCATAGGAGAAATGGCTTAAAATATTGCTGTGCTTATCTAAATAATTGCTCCCTCATTGATTTCTCCATTGGTTCATAAGGGTTTTTTAAACTCAAGATTATGCTTAGATGCTTAATACAATATGAAATTTTAACTATGGATTTTAAGTTTTAGCAATACTCAAACACAACACACGCAAATGATTACTAATGAGTTTTCCTTTTTTTGCACTGGCAATTGGCTAGAAACAATATATCCTAAAATTCATGCATATGTGCAAGGATTACAACATCAGGCTCAATTTTAGTTCTTAATAGCTGAGTGTAGTACACTAGATTTTAAGAGCTGAACAAGGACCTTTCAAATTGAATACAATACTAAAATATTCTGTGTGGTAACCTCCTGAAAATATTTTCTTAAGGTATTCTGGAGATTACAGCTAGTCAATCTTTATTATGACTCAAACTACACTGGAACTAAGCAGTAAGATATAACCCAATCCTACAAAGTTCACAAACCCCAGTCGTCTGGGTGGTAACTGAAAATAATTGTTCTCATAAACCAGGATACTTGCAAGCAACAATAAAAATTTTCTTTCCAATTCATATCCTCTATCAGCTAATGAGATACTCATTAGGTACTTGCTTATTTTACTTATTTAAATACAGATTTTGAACTTGTACCAAGATGTAAAAATTGTTTTGTACTGCATTCTAGACAATGGTGAGGTGTCTTTCACACATATGGTTAAGACCCATCAGTGAGTTGCCACATCTCATGTAAGTTAAGGTACCACTGTTATTACTGGATTGCAACAGATAGCTTGCTTTGAGAGGAAAATAAAAGGTTTTATTATACATCCAATGCCGGAATTCTCCATCAATACTATAACTTCCAGCACAAAGTGAAGATTGCTGTTCCAAAATCACAAATAAAATGTTTATATTTCACACTATAAATGGAGAAATAAAACACTAAAAAAACAGTATGCTGTCAGTCACGAGTGAAAACTAATAATTATGCAAACCAAAACCACTAAATACGCTGGAATCGCATCAGTATTACAGAGTTACCTTCAAGTTTCACTTTACTACAGAAGCATTTGAAATGATCCACAGGTAACCTCTGTGGTTTTTCACTATAGGAATTGCTGATGTTTTTGATTTAACAGCAGAGGAACTGAGCCTTCATGCAACTGTATCTTGCAAAAAAAAAAAGTAAAACAAAAATGGTATGTGTTTCATTTCTCTTGGAGATCTTTGACCACTAATCAACCCAAAATAAAAATTAGCTTTGTATTCTCTGATGATATTTCTGAGTAGGAGTTTGACATATTAAAGGAGAAATTCACTAATCTTTCCTAAAAAGGGGAGACAGAATACATGCACAGCAGAGATTCCTGGGTGAGCCACCACCTCTTTTTTATTAATTAGGCCTCTTGCCACCCTCTAGAGAGTGAAGTATCCCATCTTCCACATATAAACGAAAAAAATTCTACTAATGAGAAAGGGTTCAGAATTTAGGATTTGGACTAACAAATATCAAAGGTACCAGTGCCCCACCTAGTTTATTTTACTCTGCATGTCATATATTTACCAAAAATTAAGTTTGCTACTACAGTTCAGTGGCACCAGTCTCCAGCCCACACCACCCATAGAGGACCTGGCATCCTGCTTTCCTTGCTCAAAAAAAGACAGAAAGTTTTCCTGGGGTTTTGGCTTAATAACAAGACCACAAGAATAAATTAGGCTGGAAAAGATCTCTGAGATCATCGAGTCCAACCTTTAACCCAACATCACCTTGTCTGCTAGACCATGGCATTAAGTGCCACATCCAGTCTCTTCTTAAACATCTCCAGGGATGGTGACTCTACCACCTAAGCACCGTGAGAACCTGTCACATAATCAAAGCACCATGAAACAGACTGACGATTTTCCTAAAAAAAAAAAATATATATATATAAAAAAATCTCATCAGGATTCTGCAGAACGCGGGCACAGACAAACCCACAGTTCAAGGGCATGGCTCCTAGAACAACCATGCCTCCTCCGAGCGAGGATCCCGAAACACCAGGGCATGGAGCACGCTCCAGGCCACGCTCGGGGCAGGAGCCGCAGCCTGCAGGGATTTACGCGTCTCTCCGCAGGGTGTTTTCCAGGCGCAGGCAGAGCCCGCAGCCCGCCTTACGCGGCCCGGGCAGCTCAGCCCCAGCCGCTCCAACCCCACCCCACCGACCTGCACCGTGTAAATCCAGCCGACATCCATGTGGCTGTGGGCGACCACGAAGGCCCGCAGGTCGCTGCGGCCGCCGGCCCGCGGGAGGAGGGCGAGGATGAGGAGCGGGAGCAGGAGCGGGATGCGCGGGGGAGCCATGGCGGCCGCGGCGCTCCCGCCGCACTTCCGCGTCCCGCGGCGCCGCCTCCCCGCCTTCAAATAAATAAATAAATTACTAAAGTAGGCGGCAGGAGCTTCCCGTCCAACGAGAGGGTTTTGTGGCCCCGAGGGGGTGGCTCCGCTGCGGTAGGGTGAGATCCACACAGCGGGGGTGGAGGGTCGGTGAAACCGCAGCCCCCAGGGTGGCTCTCGCTGAAAATTCCGGAGCTGGTTTTCTTGGAACACTGGACTGCTCCTGGAGAGGCCAAATTCTGCGTTTTGAACATCTATAAATATATATATAATAAATATATAATATAAATATATTTATATATTTATAAATTAAAAATATATAAATATATGTCTATATTTATAAATATATAAATATTTTTTTAAAATCTAGGAAATTCCTTTGAATTGAGTGCAAGTTCTTTATTTCAAGTTCATTACGGTTTACTGTCTGCATCTTTGAAGTTTTGAAGTTGTAGCAAGATTAAATTTTATGTGGTTGACCTTCTGATCCCATTTAAATTGGTTGTATCACGTTTTATTGCTGCTAGCAAGAGGTGAACCCTGCACTGAGAACTGAAAAGGTAGACCCTTCTCTCTGCATGAAGTCCTAGTGAAAAGGAAAAAGAATCCAACCGAAATTAAAAATGTTATAGTATAATGTAGTCCTGTTTCCTCAGAAGTTTTCTCTGCAGTTGCACCAGTTTCTGCACAATAAATCATTGTCATATTGAAAGCCAAAATAAACTATTTTTTAAACTTTGATTCTTTAAAATACACTACAGTATAAATCAACTACGTTGCTTAAGTTCTGTTTTGAGTTAATTACATGCTTTTAACAACCTTACAATCCTGAAATGACAAAAAAATATCATACCACACTCTTAGCTCATTTCCAACAGTGCAAAAGTAAAGGACATCAGATGAAGTAACTGCTCCCACCTTCAGTTTATCTGTGGATTTGGCATTACTAGATTCCAATCCTAATTAAACCAGTCATTTCTCTATGACTGAAGGAAACAACCCCTTAAGTGTCCACTTACAGACTTATACTGATAAAAGTAAAAGATTAATTTGTACTGGACTAGATGGTACTTGGGTGCAAACTAGTCCATCTCAATATTAAAGATACCTGTAGAAACTGATCATACACTGTAAAAGCAATTTGTATCAGTTCCCTCATTTTACAAAGAAAAAACCACATGTGCTGCATTACATGCCAATTTCAGTGATTTTTTGAACATATAAAGTTGGTAAATTATTGGAGTCCAGAATGAAAAGTGCCATGTTAAAGTGCCAGTCACATTAAGCTGAACAGCATAAAACTGCCAAATTTCATTAAAATTAAATCTAATATTGAATGGATTCATCCAGAACAGGGCCCTTGATTGCTAATTAATATAGGAATCCAGAGTTTTCTGCAAAAAGAAGAGGCTAACACTAGAATGCTAAGATTACTTTTATTTGTGATAATACCTTGTCATGAAAAGTAATCAAGGTCTACAGGTAATTTTTAGGGGGGAGTATCACTGTAAGCAGCTGGATGAAGCTTTACTTGAACACAGCTCTATGACACTTTTTTTTCCCTCAAATCATTGGCATAAACTGTTTCAGTTCCAAGAATGCTAGTGCACATCCAGCAAACATATGGCTTGGGGATATATATACACACACTGTCTAAATGAACTGATGGTTTTTTACCTCAAAAGGCTTTACAGTCTTTGTAATTTAGGTGAAGTTGCCAGGAAAGCTTAAGTGTTGGTGTTTTGCTTTGCTTCCAGAATAGCTGAAAATGTTTGCAGAATGTTACCCCCGTTTAAAACCTATTTACTTCAGAAACTGCAATTGTTCTACTTACTCTTCGCAAAGGCCACAGTATGACACTGTTTTGGATGTAGTGGAGAAGAATGTAAATATTTAAACAGAATAGGTTTATGAGGAAAAACTAACCAAAATGCCCACAGTTTACACACCTAAAGAGGTATCAGGAAGGTGCACTTCCTGCACAAGTATCACTTGCTGCAAAAACGGATGAACATTGCAAATGTCACTGCACAGAGCACTTAGGCTTACCTGATAACAGGTTTGCTTTCTTACTAACCTCTCAGGGATGCTGTAAATAGTTTGTGGATCCACATGGGCCGATGGGCCAGATGAAAATGTAGGTATGTAATAGAATTTATGCTGAAAGTAATTCTTTCTTACCATTTCCATACCATTTCACAAACAGCAAAAACTAGATGGAGGAGCCAGTGTAACTATGCCACGACAGCTGCCTACATTGATACTTTATCCTCTTGCCTCCTAATCTCATAGCATGGCTTGATTATAGTCATTTTGTATTCTTTCCTAAGCTTTTCTTATTTGCCCATACAAAGTGTGTTTGCTCTCTTTGACATGAGCTGTGCTATGTGGGCTTCTGACATGCGCCTAAAAAAGACAGAGGATGTCGGCAGGATGCCGCCAACTACAAGCTAAGCAGTCACAATTGCCTTAAGTATCAAGAAAGTCACCTGCTTAACAGAACAACTAACGTACCTTTACATTTTCCTCCTGTCATGTTTTTGGGGTCGACATGTGTCAGAATAAAGGTGTTTATTAACATGAATTAGCTCTAGCTGACTATTCCAGTGTTTTAAAATTTGCCATTCCCCTAACTGTTTCCCAGTGGAGGCACAGGTCACCGCACAGAGCACTTGGGCTTACTTGGTAACAGGTTGTCTTTCTTACCAACCTCCCAGGAAGGCTGTAAAGACAGTTTCCAGAATCACAGGGGCTCACGGACCAGATGAAAACCACTCTCCTGCCTTGCAGTGAGTTCAGTGTATATAAACCCCAACAATTTACATGGTGTTTGTAGCCGTTGTCCTTAAGGTAGCTGACACGGACTAGGGCTGGTAAGTGAACTGAGGTGAATGTCAAGGGGCAAACTCAACCACCGGTGCTTTGCGTGGAGAGGCGGGAGCGGCAGCAGGGCCGCTGGCACGGATGCCGCTGGCGAGGCCCTGGTGCGTGGTGCTCCCCAGGGATGTGTGTCCAGCCTTCTGGCGCACCGGGACGCGCTCCCGTGCGCGCCAGGCTGCCCGCACCGCGGCACGAGGGGCACCCGGTGGGGAGCTCACAACGGCAGCGGGACGGGCGGCACCGAGGGGTTGTCCCGGACGGACGCCACGGAGGGATTCTCCTGGACGGAAAGTAAGGAGGATTCTCCCGGCCGGGGGCGAGGTCAGGCTGGGGCGTCGCATCCCACCGGGGCCGGGGCCGGGGCCGGGGCCGCTCGCACCTGTTGGAGCCGCGGCGGGGCCGGCCCTGCCGGGCGCGGCGGGTCCTGGCGAGGCTGCGCCGCCTCCGCCGGGAGCTCCGGGCGGAGCCTTCCCTCCTTCCCGTCCGCCCTCCCCCGGCTCCCTGAGCGCCCCGAGGCAGCGGCGGATGCCTGCGCCCGCTCCGCTGGGAGAAGGAGAAGGCGCCCCGAGCTACGGGCGTTGGGAGCAAAGCAAATAACACTTCAGAGCAGTGGGCGCCTTCCGGAGGGCAACACCCATGTCCCACAAACAGGGTATATCTGGAAACGCGCTCCCTCCCCGGCACTCTCTGTCCCCTTTCATCCTTCTGTTCCTTCCTAAGCTCTCTCCATCTCTCCTCCCCACTCTCTGCCTCTCTCTCCCGTCGCCCACTTTCCCTTCTCCCTCCCTCAGCCCAGTCCCCCCGCCGGCCCTGGGTGCCCCGACTGACTGTGCCTTTCCTCCTGCCCAGCCGGCGGCCCCGCAGGCGAGAGCGCGGCTGACTGGTGCCTCTACCAGCTCAATGGAGCAGCCGAGTTCGAGGTGTCTGAAGGTGAGTACAGGGGTGCCGAGGGGGGCGCGGCCCCTCGCCCGCTGTGCCGGCCGGCAGCGTGTGGAGAACGGGAATCGCTGTTGGGAGAGGGACACTGTCGGCACGGGGCAGCCCCGGGGCTGTGGGGCGGCGGAGGTGGCGATTGTGCCCAGGAGAGGAGGGGAGGTGCCCGCCGGTGGTTGGCGTGTTCCGGGCCTTGTGAAGGTGTCTTGGCTGGTGTTTGTGTTTGGTTTTGTTTCTGAGAAGTAGTGCTTCGCATCTGGCGGCCTAGGGTGGCATCAGCCCTCCTGGCCTTGGCGTCGATGGGTGATGGTGTGAGGTGGTCCGTGTAGTACCTGCCGTAAAGTTTTTCCTGGCCTTTTTTCACCCCTTTGACTTTGAAAAAAGAGGAAAGCTGGAAAGTTATATATTTTTTTTAATATTCTGTGATCAGAAAAAGAACAGTCCTTGGGTGCCAGGGAAGAAAGTTTCCCCACTATCTTCAAACCATGTATGGTTTTGAAGATGCAGAGACTTAGGTGTGAACCTATATATTTTCCATGATACCAGATGTGTAATGTGCAGTGCCGTGAGCATCTTTCAGTGTCTGTTTTCAGTGGGTTAAGTGGAGCTAAGACCACATCTCCATGCTTTTGTTCTGCTGCTGCTGTGTATTCCTGAGAAGAGTGTATTTACTGTTTTTAAGGGTTTAAAATGCATCAGAAGTTCAGCTAGACTGAAAAGCTTTCCAGTACTGAGGAAAGTGGCACTCTGTAATAGATTGGGTTCAGGTTCAAGGTTAGGAGAAACTTTTCAACAGTGGAGCACTGGAATATATGAAGTAGGTAGAGAATGAAGTCTCACTGATTTCAAATATTTAAGGTTTGTTTCACAAACACAGATTGAAGTGATAAAGCTATAGACCTTGCCTTGGGGCAGGTAGAAAGACTACCTTTTTGGGGTCTCTTTTAGCTTTATTACCTGTGACTCTTTGAGATGTGAAGTTTTGTGTTATGTCTTGTGCTTTGCTGTTTGGAGAAGTGATTTAAACCTAGTGTACTACTACTAATAATAAGCTATAGCTTGATTGAGGCTTTGGACTAAGATTTTCCTCCCAGTTATTCCATGGTGGTTCATATTTCAAGGTGTACTTAATAGTGTGTGTGGTTACACAGTCTTGCATACTAAAGCATTTCTCAA